TTTCTAATAAATTTTAAATAATCACTTCTTTTAAGTTTAACTGTTTTAGTTGGATAATCTAACTGATGTACATCTAACTTTGGGTAGTATTAATCATCCTAAATATTAAAAAATTAAACAGTGGAGGGTTATCTATAACATATCCTTTTGACATTTTAACTTGTCTTCTATTCCTGTAAATATTACATAATTACATGTTGGTACTGAGTATATTGGATTATAAATTTTGTTAGGTACTTCAGTACAGTTTAATAAATCATGGACTCACTCTTATCACCAGTATTCAATAACCTGTACATGGAATATTTTGAATGTCCTCAAAATAGCCACTCTATTTTCCAAGATCTGACACAGATATGTTGACAATACATTTGTAATATGGTCACACATTACGGACAAGGTTCAAGAATTCATGGACGATCTAAACAGACAACATCCCACAATTAAATTCACTCACAGTAGAAATAGAAAATAGATAGTAACCCTCATTTAACCCATATATCACAAAAGTTTACAGGGACCTGCAGATATGGGTAAGTACTTCAACTATAAACCAAATTAACAGGATTTGTAATGCAGAAGAAACTAAGAAGATTTATTTATTTTTTATGGGTCATGAAAAGTCAGTCAAGAATGATATTTGTCCTTTTTTCTTCTACCTTTGTTGCATAACACCCAGTCTTTATTCACTCACAATTACACAGACCTGCGATGGTTTTATTGTCTTGAAATTTTTACATGTTCTACTGTAATTCCTGTAAGCTCAATCTGAAAATTATATACATTTTTCTCCATCACGTACAGATTTTTCACAAAATATCATATGTACTTTTACATAAGTGAATCATTTTCATTGAAATTGGGTCACATTTTGTTATACTTAAAATGTTGACAACCACTGGCTATAGATTTCTCTAGACCAATCGAGACATGAAAGTCTTATCAATCATTCTAGAACCCACAAGAAACACACTGCTGGTATATAAATGCTTAATAGGCCACATGACATGTCATTTTTGGATAGTGTTTGTTTGTGAGTGCACATAATGTTTTTCTTTTCAATATTACTTATTCATTGCATGAGCCCAGAAACCACAGAAATGACTACTTTGCTCATGTAATGTGCAAGGCTACAACACTCAAAATAAAAATGAAATTTCTTATCCGAACCTTCAATCTGCTTGCTATGAGACCTGTTGCTCATGGACCTGATGTATGTGGACCTACTTCACTGGAGACTCTTGATACAGTTTCATCTTATTCTGAATTTGATGTCAATAGAAATGATGATAGGGATTATTTTCAACCTGAAACGTCTGGTGAACCACAACTTTTCACACATGGTGAACTTAATGATTTGCTGAGAGATTTGGGCCTTCCAAAGAATTCTTCAGAGATTTTGGGGTCCAGACTTCGGGCTAAGAACTTAATTTCTCCAGGGACATCATTTTACTGATATAGAAATCATGAGAAAGAGTTTATACCATAATATTGCAAGAAGGTTTATTGGTTTGTTGCAACAATATTACTGAATTAAGACCAATGATAGTAGCTGCAGTCTATGAACCAAGTGAATGCCAATTGTTCATTGATTCCTCCAAAAGAAGTCTAAAATTTGTTCTCCTTCACAATGGTAACATATATGCATCTGTTCCAAAGAACATGGTTGGCTGCTTTGTGGAGACTTAAAAGTCCTTTGTATGTTGTTGGGTCAACAGTCGGATTATACAAAGTTTCCAAGCTTTTTTGTGTGAATGGTACAGCAGAGTACAAAATCAGCACTGGATAAATATTGAACAGCCACACAGAGTCAGCCTGATACCAGGATCGAAAAACAATGGATGTGAAAGATTGGTTGACACAAAGAAAGTCCTCTTACCTCCACTTCACATAAAATTGGGCTTGATGAAACAGTTTGTAAAGGCCTTAGACAAAGATGGTGACTGTTTTCCAGTATCTATGTGGGCAATTCCCAGCTTTTTCAGAAGTGAAACTTAAAGAAGAGATTTTTGTTGGACCTCAGATTAGGTAATTTACTTCAGATTAACAGTTTGAATGGACAATGAGGAAAGTTGAAAAAGAAGTGTGGATTGCCTTTAAAGGTGTTATTGACAAATTTTTAGGAAACATCAAGGACCCAAATTATGAAAATATTGTCAATAACATGCTCAATAAATTCACAGAGTTGGGTTGTAATATGAGCTTGAAAGTTCATTTCATAAGCTCACATATTGACAAATATATTATCTTACGATGAACAAAGAACTGAAGCTGTATTACTTGAAATTCAATATACTGTACATCAGAGAATATGATATACAAATGTTCATAGACTGGGTCATGAAAAGCAAATTTAAAAACCTGAGACAGATGTTTACTTAGTAACAGCCAATCAACATTTTAAAAATATGCACAACAGCTTAGAAAAGGATAGTTTAGTGATGAAACTGAAAAAGTATGTGATTACAGAATTTACAAAATCCTGAACACACAAGATACTGCTGCCAACTCTGATAAGAAGAAGGCTACAACTGTAATATATTAAAACAAATGTACATACTGAGAAGCCAGCATACAATGTAAATAGCTGTTAGTGTTATAAGAAACAAAGAGCACATTTTAGAACATTGTCAGAGAGTTAAAATTAAAATTAGCTTCAAAAACCCAAATGTGAACTAGAGAGATACTTTGTAGATAGTAAATGGTCGACTTTATTCTCAAAGATAGAGCCTCATGATGTTTGCAGATGAAAGCTCAGCTGATTATTACAAAGAACTGCATTAACTGACTTTTAAGTTAACACAGAAGAATTAGGTGTTATGGTCAGCAATATACACTGAATACAGGGACACAAAAGTAACTTGGAAAATTGACAGCATCCTGATGTCACACCATATAGTAAAAGACAGAATAATGAAGAAAGTATTGAGATGGATTTAGGATGAAATGGAGGCCAAAAATGACTAAGATACTAAATACTGATATGGTGATTAATCAAATGTGAAGCTGGGTAAGTTAATCAATTTTCTATCAGATGTAATTACACAGATTAATGTCTCATAAAACTTATCAATTAATTAAAAATATGATTAATTGATCAATGTCACAAAAACAATCAATTAATTTTGATTAGTTGTTTTGATTGTTACTGTTTTCAATTATTCCAACTATTGATTAATCAAAATTATGATTACACTGACTGTCATGAAAATAATCAACAATCCAAAGTTAGGGTTTTAAATTATTCCAACTATAAAAGCAATAAAAGTAATGCCATTATGTTTATTTGTTATTAAGAACAAAGCAACATAATAAACAGGGGTGGGGGAGAAGTCTTGTGATTTGAGGGTCTTGGTTTCATTTCCTATTACCACTAAACTTGATTGCCCCGCATTATTAGAAAGTTATTAAAGTTATCTGCCCTACCACTAGTCTTAAACTACTGACCAGAGAGAAGGCAACTGACTGGCAGCACCCATCACCAATGCTCTGGCTACTTAGGTGTTAATAAAAGTATAAATTTATTGTTTTTTCACATAGTGCTAGTTTTCTAATATATAATTGCATAACTGTATTCTTTAATGTTGTAAGCAGGCATGGATAAAGGGGAGAGGCTCCAGAGGACCAAAACCACACTCAATCCCTCCATGTATTTTATTTCTTAGAAATTAAGAACTGTAATAATATTGTATAAGTATCCACAGATCTAGGGGGGTTCCATCCCCTCCATGTTTTTCAGAAATTAATAAAACAAAATGTTCAAACATTACCATATTATAACAAATAGAAACATTAGATCTCAGTGTTTTTACTCGATTGGTTAAAAGCTTTTTTTCGGTTTTCTAAAGACAACATAGCTGGAGTCTAGAGCAATCCAGTTATGGCCTCAGCCAATAACTGATTATTTGTGAGTGACTACAACACTATGAATGTCCATTAAATGTTGTCATGTCTTGGCTTTTACTAGTGACTTTAATAATGTGCTTAGACTGAAGAGAGTTATTTCCATCAAAGTTAGTATTGTTAACGATACCCACAGCTCTTATACATAGACTTGTTACATAATCTATTTTTCATTGTATGAAAGATAGAATGCTCATGAGAAAGATGTCCAAAATAAGCAAAATTGCATATGCATTCTGTTTACAAACATTAAATTATGAATTTAGGTGTAGGCTTTATAATTTTTTTTTCTTAATATAATTACAGCTCTTTAATTTTGATTAAAGAATATGATTTGTTTGTTTGTTTATTGTTAAGCACAAAGCTACACAATGGGCCATCTGTGCTGTGCCCACCATGGGTATCTAAACCTTATTTTTAGTGTTATGAACCTACTGGCAGAGAGGCTACAAAATTGGAAATGTTTGTCTTTAACTGTTTTTATTCTAATATCAATCATATTATGAGAAATAAAGGTTAAGGTTTGAAATCATTGGATTATAACCTGACTGAGCTACTCGTAATGACTTGTAGGTTTTCTAATCAATTTTATTATTAAAGTTACTAGCTGTGTATAGTTATGAGTAAAGTAACATAATCATATCAGTAGTGCTAGATGAGGCTCAGCTGGACTTTTATATCTTCAAAATGAAACCAATGCTCATTGAAATGTTCATTATTGTTTAACAACTTAAAAAGAAAATCTAACACAAACTATGAGAAATGTTTGCGAACTTTTACATGATAGTGTATTGTTATAAACTGAATCATGTAAACATGTTCAGTTGTATAATCTGATCATTCCTATACATTGAAAGATATATATTTAAATATTAAAACTGCACATCTGTTTATTGCTCTTCAATGATCTGCTCAGTGAGATCCTAACTTAATAATTATTAAGTTTCAAGGTACTGAATGCAAAACATGAAACTAAACAGAATAAGTAGCAATATCAATCATGTGAAATTTCTGAATATATTTTCTAAGTTGACCAAAAAGTAGAAATGGTAAAGGTACAGTGACATAAAACATAAGCAAACTTAAAATTCTACTACCTGTTATGCTGCACAATAACCTCAGAGTTGGAGCATCTCCACTATACTGATTGATCATGCCCTTGGTAGCTGCCTGTGGCACTGGAATGGTTAGGGTGATGGGCTTGTGAAATTTTCTTCTTCGTGGTTCTACAGTGACAATAGGGCTCACACCCACAGAGTTTCCCAGCATTTTTGATACAAGCTCTGGAAGAATTGGCTGTGCCTGTGGGGTGACACAAATGTGGTGCCATTGTGAAGAAAATTTAAAACAAATTAAAATATCAAAGTAATGAGTAATTCATGCATAATAGGTAAAAAGAAAAAGACATAAAAGAAAAAAAACATAAAACTAATGTTTCAAAATTCAAATGCATCTATTAATTACAAGCACTGAAGGCAATCAACTGATTAATTAAGTGTCTTAATCCAACTCAAATACTTCCTTTAACTAATGCAAAAAGAAAATATATTTATAATAATAAACAAGCACAACAGAAACATAAGAAACCTTGAGAAATGGAAAAAAATTTTGAACTGAAAAATTTCATTTTCAATAAGTTCATGCAAAAACATTTAAAATGTTTTGTTAGTATTCATTATTGCATTGACATATAAAATTATTGATATATTAGAAATAAAAGTATGTATTACTCATTAAAACATGAGTGCAGTGTTTTGATATTTTTAAGTGTTTTATCAAAAATTATTCAAATATTAATCTGAACTATTTTGCCCAATGAAACTACTTAAACGTTTTCTGTTCAGTACGAGTTAATTAAGTTATAGATATGATGATATCTGTTTGAAAATTATTATTTTCATAATCAATTATTGTAGGATACAGTATTTGTTGTACTTATGGATATCCAACTTATGGTTATACTTTAAAAAGCTAATTTTATGATACATTTTACAACACAGTAGCAAAATGATTGTGCTCAAAATCAGGCAAATGCAGCAACAGTTTGAAATTATTATGTCTATTCCTTAATATATATGTATATATATATTAAAAAAAAACAACAAAAAAAAATGTTTTATTGACTTGGTTCTTTTTTTTTCTGGATTTCTTCAGTAATTTATGAATCAGCCTATTTAAATTGTTTGATATAACAGTCTATATACATATTTCATTGCAATATGTTCTCAGTATTCTCTAAAAAATTTTATAATTTCTTCATCTGTATTGTTTACTTTGTATTTCAACATTTGTCAGTTTCTCTTGTTCCCTTTTATTTTGATTATAAGATAAACGTTTAGTCGATTGTTTCTTTAAATTACACAGTTTCTTTCTTTATTCTATTTATTAATGCAAAATGTTATGAAAAGCTAGAAAAGTATAAGCCAGTTACTAACTATTGTGACAATTAAAATACAATTTTGTAATTTTAAGCAAATCAGTGCACACAAACTTGTTTTACCCAGCTCTTCTTAGTATAAAAGTAAAATGGGTTTGAGTGTTTTTGTTCTTTACAATTATTCGAAACTCCAATTTTGAGCAGATTTTGTTTCTATTTTGTATATAGCAAGGGATAAATTTTTATTGCTTTTGCTCCTTTATTGAACTATAATCTCCTTCATGTAACAAATAAGGTGTTTAATAAAATATTTTTGTAATGGTAAAAACATATATTTTTCTCTTTTTTTATTTACATATACATTTTAAAAACTGCAGAAAATGTTACATATGAAGAATTATACTCTGTTGTCTATATACTAAAAACTTCAAGAATAGGGTTACAATCTTCATAACAAAGTAACTTGAGATATTCCAATGTGGAACAAAGCATACATAAGACGTATAAATGATGTTCTGTGGAAGTCCCATTTAAAACTATTAGAGTTTAAGTATTCTCAAGACTAAAATAAATAAAAACAGAAAAAATATAGTGATACATAAACAATAAACTGATTGTTACTGATGAAATGTGATAACAAAGTAGTTTAAACTACTCAATTCACTGGAAACCATTCTTGAAGTACATGTGAGGGAAAGTAGCAAAATGTATTAAGCACGTATAAGTTTACATTGCTGTAAGTTGTAATAGTGAATTAAATGATGTTTATATTTTTTCCATTAAAAACCATAATTCTTTAGAATTACAGTAATGCGCACTTAACTATGTTTTTTACAGCATTTGTATTGAATGATGTATGTCTCAACATCTAGGCATTAGGTATCTGAATTTTAATTTTTCAGATAAAATAGGTGAAATTTAACATGCAATTTAAAAAGCTCCTAGCTACACTCTCAAGCAAGTTTCCATTTTCAATATATTCTAGCAAAATCAAGAAGGGCTATTAATTTTAGCACATACAAAAAGGGTAAAATGCCTATGTTTCATAGCTGCACATAAGAACACATGTTTGTATGAACCTTAACTTCTAAGTCTGGATAATTTCAATAAACATGCCTAGAGTGCAGCCAGAACCTTTGTGTGCCATATTGATAAAAAATGCCAAAATATCTTAGTTTTTCTATGCTAAACTAAGTTATGTGTAAGATTGGAATAATAGCAAGAAACTGCCTGCTTTAAAAAACTGTCATTAGCAATATGTATTAATATCAAGTTCACCTATGTTTCAAAATGATGTTTTATCAACATCCCATAAAAAAAAAAAATCCTAAAAGCATGTTCTACACTGGTTGATGAAGAAGAGATGAGAAGTGATAGAACAGAAGATGGAAGAAATGAGCTGTTAGAAATGAAGAGGCTGAGACAGAGTTAGTTTATGGCTAAGTTTTCTTTTATTATTATTCTTAGCAACTACAAGCATCCAGACTTAGAAGTTTCAGGTACTATCATAAGATTACATTATATATCATGAGGTTAGATTATCTGAGAGTTCTGGAAATATAATTTAAATTAAATATTAAATAAAATAAATCAAAGTTTCACACTTTCATTTGTTTCATCTAAAAACTTTCAATGGTTAGCATTCAAATCTACTTAATTTAATTTTGATATCCTTTGGTTTTAACTTCTTGACTTCAATAAATACATGTTAGAATGAATATTAAGACAAACAATTCTAAATGTAATTGTATTCTTAACCAAAACAAAAAAAAGGGAAGTTTGAACAAAAGAAATAGTCTTAGTACACTACAATAATAAATAGATTTACAATACATAATAACCTAACAATATAAAGCAGTACTAACATTTCAAAGCCATTAACAGTAAATTTGAACATAGAATATAATGGTTATTAAAAAGAAAACAGTGTTGGCCTATGAAAAAACTAAAGAAACATTCAAATGAGTTGTCTAAATCATCACAGAAATCTTGATCACATCTCTCAAAACGAGGAGAGATAACCACTTGTAAGATTCTGGAGAAATCTTTCATTTAAACTCATTATTACAGTAGAACTTCATTTACAAAAGATGGGATAAAACTTATGATTCTATTAAGTGAAAAGTATAAGAAATGATGTATGAGTAATATCACTATGGTTAAAGAAGTTGCATACATGCTATAGTGTATATATAAATGTTGAATAAATAAGTATATCTTAACACAAAAAATCATCACTGAAACTCTGTTCAGCTCTTCTCATATCAATATCATTGGGATTAAGATTCAGAATGTAAATCCCTGGTTAAGTATGAAACACATCGATAAAATATCTCACATCAAACACATTTTTTCTTGAAGTCAGATCACAGAAGGATAGAATTACAATTTTAAAATCAAGTGGTTGAAGTATCAGTTATAATAAAAGATTATTAGTGTTATATCATAATTTAAATCCTTATTAAATTTTAAGTAATAAAATCCACAATTAAATTCTTAAAATTATGAGAAGTATGAGTGCCATTACACTAAATGTACAAATGCAAATACATAATCCATAAATATCTATAAATATGGCACAAATTAATACAGGTTGCATGAAGCAGACACCTGTAAAGTTATTTAAGTTTACGCTATGTGTAAATGCAACACACCTAGAAAAGATAACACACCACAAACACTCAAAAATAAACTTGAGAGGCATGTCCAAAGTAAATTAATATCACCTTCAGAAAGCACACAGAGAAAGTGTAGTACAATCAAAAGTTTTTTTGTCTTACTTAAAGAACTTTCCTAGCAACTGTATCTTGCTCTGATACCATTATGATCAGAGTTTGACCATCAAAAATCAGAATTCTCAGCCCACAGTAAACTTTACCATAGACTTACAATGACTATGTACTATACATGTATAAGCAACTACGTCATAAATTATTACAAAAAATATGATGGCTGTTGTAGTATAGCAAATTTTACTATGGTCCCAACATAGATACACAATACTGCTTTCAAAACAGTCTGAGGCACATAGCCAGTAATTTACAATTTCTGTGATACAAGTATATTAAATTGAAAACTTGATTTTTGGATAAAACTGATTAAAAGAACTGTAGAACTAAAACTGGTTAATATGAATGTAATTTTTCTCTTATCACTAAAAGTATGGATTTTACAGAGAAACATCATTCATGCAATTAGTTGATATCAAATAATATACAAAAAATGACTGAAATGAAATGCTGTACACTTATAACATTATATATTGTAAATAAACGTTTACACTGCTAGTAAAAATTAACTTTATTTTTATGAAGTTTTTTACAAGAAATAACTCCTAAAGCAACATATGTATAATTAAGTTATAATTAGATAAGAATGTTACTTTTAATTCAAGTTGCATGAACAAAATAATTACAATAATAATTTTAAGTCATTTCTTATCAAATATATATATACATATAATATATATTACATATCCAAAAACAATATATATAATTGTTTTGTAACATCTAATAATATAAGCGGAGTACTGTCTGGTAGTCACTTCAATTAGTGAATGTTGTGTAATGTTACATCCCAAAAATGAGACAAATAATATACTCTAAAATTCTAACTAACATGTATACTTATGATTACACTAACAACATGAATATAACAAACACAGTAATAATAATAATAGCAAATATAATCCAAAAAAAACTAAATACAATGACAAATTAGCATAATGGATCATAATTCAAATGTAACAAAAATGTATTACAACAGAACAAAACTTTCACAAAATAGTAATCAAAGTTTTTAAAGAATTTCCCAGCCACTCTTCTTTTACATCTGAAACTTCAAAGTGATTTTCAGACTAATGAAAAGGAATTCTAATCACACCACACCTAAGTGTGTTTTATAATGAAGCTTTAAACCTATCTTAGCTCAATTTTTTATTCTGATAAAGATTCCAATCTAGTTCTATATCTTACTAGCAAAACTTTTGTTAACATGACCATCTAACATTATTCTGGTCAAAAGTGTAGGTACTGACCTACATTTCAAAACTGTATCTTATTTTCTAATATTTTTCTAAATTTGGCTATCTGTTGAGAATGATACCAGGAAAAAAATGTCTTGAATAATTTAATGGATAATTAGTAAAGCTTTTAAACTTTGTTTCTTCATACAAATGCTTGGAGGTCTAACTACATGTTGTTTCAAAATGCAATAGTTATAAACATTTGACCTCAAGATCTATCCATATATATATATATATTTCTTTGACATTTTATTAATTTAAAACATAAGCTAATACTTGCAGTTAAAGAAAAAATGCTTTTTTTAAACCATGTAGACTTGTTTTATACTTTCATTTTATAGCATAGAAATAAATTAAACAAATAACCAATCACAAATTTATGCTACCCAATGTCACAAACTTAGCTCAAAATACGTGGAGAAATGCTTCCGCTTCTATTCAATCAAAAAAGTACATATGGAGAAGGGTTATCTATACATATATTCTTGTTTTAAAATCTAACAAATCAGTAGTATTTTGAAAGACACACTAAATTTATTTGTTTGTTTGTCTTATAACAAAGCCAAATTAGGCTATATGTTGTGTCAACCGTGGGAATCGGAGCACAGATTCTAGCATTGTAAATCTGTAAACTTACCGCTGTCCCACAGGGGTACAGACATACTAAAACTTTAATGCTTTCCATGCAGAATTAAATTTCATGGTTTCACACAACCTACATTGTTTTTTGCAGATATATCACAGTTAGAAAGAGATATGTGGTAGTAAAGTTAACTTTTTACATTAATATGAAAGTATAGTCATTAATACATACCTGTTATATAATTTTTCAAATTTTTAAAGATACACTTTCACAAATATTATATTATATTATCCCTTTTGTTTCTATTTTCTTCCACTTATTTCACAGTTATGATCTGTTTATTTTTATGGCCATACCTAGTAAGAACATTATTCAAAACAGTTTCCAAGTTTGACAAAAATTTAGGTAACTCTGTTTCATAACTAATAGCTTCAAAATATTTTTAATGGGAAAACAGGACAGCCTTTTATCAGTTACAATTTTTTTTTAAACCTCAATATTTCACCTTGCTGCCTCTTCAATCACACTAGTGGGTTCAGAACAACTTAAGAGATCTTTTCTCTTTGCTGTTAAATATATTTACACTCCAATATGTATTACGTTACCTTGATTTCGGTGACCATCAAAACATTATAATACCTACCAATATTTCTTATGCAGATATTAAATGCTAAACGTGAATTATTACTTTCATTCATATTTCAAACCTTTATCTTACATACATATTGTTCTTGCTTCATGTATATACCTAAATGTAATAATTGAATAATCTTACTGAACTCATGAATATCTCTCAATATATATTTTCAGTTACCAGTCTTTTTACATGAAAGGAGATAATATCAGTAATTAAATAACCATGTAATCAAACAGATTTAAGTAAATTTCCAGAATTTCATGAAATTAGCATACAGCACACTATACATGATTTAAAAAAAAATCCAAAAAAAATGTTAGGAATCAATTTTGTTCACCATCAAAATATGCATCTTAAGTGGCTATCAAGTCATTAAATAGATATTTGTGCATACATATATTAGGTGATCATAGATAGCTTAAACCTTTGTTTGTAAGATAAAAATAAATAAATACCAACTTTTCTCCTGACTGTTTGGTACTTTTGTAGCAAAAGAAGGACAAAGACACTTAATGTAATGTTTCCTAGTTTGAGGTATAAAATATAAAATTATACTCATTTATATATATATATAATATCTGACAAAATATAAATCAACAATTATAATATTCCTGCTAATTTAATTTTTGCACAGATCAAACACAACTGCAATTTTATATGTTGAAAATATAATTTTTTTTGTGTCTAATTTTAATTAAATGCCTCTCTTACATGCTAGAAAACAAATCTAATTTCGGCATTGTTTTGCGGATCAATTCAGCAAAAAAGCCTGATTTTGGTCTAGAATGTTTGGAAAAAGGACACTTATCCTTCTTTTGGGATGGGAATCTGCTAGAAGTAGGTCTTGAATTCTGATCTGATTTTTTAAAAGAATTTAAATGAGGATGCTTCTGTTCTTTACCATTGATCAGTACTGATGGTTGATCATAATTTGTGGAGTTACTACAAGAGGGCATTACCTGAAGTCCTACTTTAATCTTCTTTGTTAGTGCTCCCTCTGGGAAAATAGCCTGGACCTGGGGAACTACTGTAGAACTGACCATACCACCCTCAGGTCCAATAGAATGGACTTCTTGTTTTACCCGACTGACAAGAGCAAAATATTGAGGAAAATCTGTGGTCAGGATTCGGGTAATGCGTTTGGTGTTAAGATCTTCCAAGGCATTTAGTTCTGTAAAGATATATCATTTTCAAACTCCCAATTTTTTTTCTTGTTAAGATTTAATAGCTAAGTTTTAAAAAAATGTAACGATTTTTAACAACTGATACATCAAAGCTCAAATAAAAATAATTAATGAAAGAAATGCAATAATTACTCCCAGACTTGTATATCAAACACCCAAATAAAAATAAAGAATTAACATTATTTTGAGATAATCCAGTTATATCAAACTTAGTATTGTATATTTAATAATAGCATTATGAAGTAAAAACCATACAGATCTTAGACTATTTTATCAACTCTCTAAAAACTTAACAATATTTTGCACCCTACAAAAATTTAATTAAAGCTCTTTCTGCTTTTTTCTCTCTGTAATCAAATTATAATATATTTTTTCTTTATTTTTAAAATGGATAACTCAAAATAATATCTAATCCCATTAAAAAATATACTTAAGGTATCTTTTAAAAAACTTATTTGGTATTTTAATCAGTAAGATATTTGCAGTTAAGCCATGGATCAATGAATTATAAGGTTCAATAGTCAAATTAAAAAAGGATCAAAGAAACACTTCAAACAATGACGTTTATCCACTATTATTCTGGAGCTTAATGAATTCATTCACTAAAGATGCTATAAATGTTAGTTCTTTTGATTGCATTATTATTTCTTGTAATTAACTACCTTTATAGTCTTTATAATTTAATTAATATTCTAATTAACCTGAACTCCCAGGTCCCGTACTCACAAGAATTTGTAGGGTCACGAGATTTGACCCCCCCGGGTAATGAATACACACTGCAAAATGCCCCATAAGCAAGGCAAGTTCTTTGCTTCGAACTTTGTACCATAACAAACTAAACAGCGTACAATTTGCACACACACCTGTCCACAATCAACTTTTAACAGGTTTCGTCAATGACAATAAGTTGCACAAAAATAAAGTGAAATTAAAATACCACATGATTAACCCTTTCACCTCGGGTAGGTCAAAATGTGTATGTCACAACCTTTCACAGAGTTACATTCACAAGTTAATTAAACTACTTTATTATCAATGTATATGAATAAACTTGGCATCAGAATATAGATAATAAATCAAAGTTTAGTATTATTTAAGTATTAAGTTTTATAAGGAAATATTTAAAAAAATTCTGAATCTCCCCTAGTATGAGAACTGTGACATTTGTTATCTCGATCTTCCCTCTTCTCTTATTTTTACCACTCCTTAAAGAAGTATGAAATTTAAATTACTCATTATAACGTTTTCTTCATTCAGGCAAAGTTAGATAAAGTAAAATAAATAGAAATATTATTAATAATAATTCTTTATGAAGTGTGTTTGCGAGAAAAGGGCAATAAAACAACAGAATGTAAGTATAAATAGATGTATACTGTTACAAGTTTTAAGTTACTTAGGATAAACAATTGTGGTTTTCTGTTACAATTTGCAGTCATACTAGAAAGAAAATAGGGGAATTTAGAATTATTTCCTAATTTTTTATGGTGGTTACGAAGTCAGCGGCTTCATATACAGTTAGGATAAAGAAAATAACTGACAAAATATAAAGTTTTGCTGAAAAACAAAACAAAAAAAAATTTCAGATGAAGAAAAGTATTTTTAATCTTATCATGAAAGTTACTTTGCATTCATAAAGGGAAACAACATGCAGTGTGAATTGTAAATAGTTTTTCATTGAACATTAACATGCCTCTTTTCCACTTGCACAAGGTAAACATGTAGTGTACATTGTAAATAAAGTTTTTCATTCACACGGAAATGCTTTTTTCCTTTTTTTGGAATTTATTAAATTCTACCTATGGGTCCCTTGAAAGAAAAGTTGAGAGTATGGGACACTAGTGAGAACTCAGATTATATATATAATTTTATAAGTATAATCTAGCTGATATTTGTAAAAAAAAAAATTAATATGTTTTGCAGTAAAAGCATATTTAGAAACTAGAATAACCTTCTCCTTCAAAACTCTCATTCAAGACATCTTGAACTGCTTCATCTGTTGCCTCGAGTGTATGCTCTCGCCAAACTTCTCCATTATCACTGCGTAAAATAGTTATCTCTCGTTCTTTCCCTCGAAGAGATGTAAAGTGTGGAACTTCAATTACCACAGGTCTAAAAATGTTCAAGGATAGGTTTTTAAGAAGAAAGTAGCATGTTAATTCAAGTTCATTTCATGAAGTCATTGATATTTAATAGATCTAATTACCAGATTTATTAAGTAAAAGAATTATTACATATATTACACATTTAAAAAATATTTTACATAATAAAACCTTTACTATAGAGAAATACACTCTATTTTATCTTTATGCATTCTGCAGGAATGAGTGACAAGCAATGACTTTTATTACATTACATTATTAGGCATAAATCTTTTAACTTTAATAATGTTTGTATTTGATATAACATATTTCACACAAACTCATTTATTTTTAGTATAGATAAAAATTCCCTAGTGAGTAATAATGTACATTAATAAACACCTACAAAGGTTAAAAAATGTGAATAGCATGTTATTGATCATAGTCAAATGATGCATGTGTGAAGAACTATACTTAAAAATTAACGTACCCTAAGAACTTAGCTCCAACAGGCCCAACCTCTAAAATCCGTGAGGCACAAGCTTCTCCCTCCATTAGTGGAGGAGGGTGGACTAATTTTTCTTTTCTCAAGTAACGACAAGTGATTCTCATAGGCATAGAAGCTTTCCGTGGTGGTATTATTACTCTTACACCTGAATGTCGGCATCCTCGCATGGCCCCTCCTCGAGCATCCACCATAAAGCTGACAAGGAACCTAAGCATAAGAAGAAACATGAAACACTTTGATCTAAAATTATGTGAATAAATGTAATGTTTTCATTTAAGTTAAATGATTCTGAAACACACAATAAAATTTATATTTTACACAGGTTAGTGTTGACTTGACATGAAAATTCATCAACAAATATTATTTTGATAAGAAAATTGAATTATTCTTATAACTATGCATCATTAACAATCTGACACCTGTCATAAAAATAATGAGGTAAAGCCCAAATATATTCAGAATTTCAGGTTAGCAACACAGAATATATTGACAATGTTAGATTTAATTATGTTATATACATTGTACTTGTATGACACTGGATGCTGTCTTAACACACTATCATTCTTTTACAATTAAATTCTATTTGACTTCATTAAAACACCAGCAATTCTTTATTGAATTTAGTTTTAAAATTTGGTTTATTTAAAAAACTGTATTTCATTCTTTAATCCTTTTTTTATGAATTTAAAATATGTGTTCCTCTATTTATAATGAAAAAAGGTTTTAAAAACATACTATAACTGACTTACGTCTTCCATTTTAGCTTGCTAAAGGTTCCACGGAAGCACAAGAAAGCAAAAGTGTAAAAAAAAAAGGTACAGGTTAGCTTAGCAACACCACTACTCGTAATCAGAAAGAACACAGCAGTGTGAATTTCTAGCTATGTTCAAAAAAACTAACAGCAGCATCCAAAAACTTACATGCACACCAAAGTATAAAACACATACACAATAGTTCATTAAACAGTGAGCTTAATATAGAAGTAAAACCAAACATTTTACAGTAGTGAACTTAAAAATTTAGTCACACCTGTTAGATACAAACTGTATTTGTACATAAATATACCAAACAAAAATCACATCACAGAACAAAAGTAACGTTCAATGTTAAGGAAATCATTAAATTAGAAAAATATACTGTTTATTATCAAAGACTAACATTTTTATTGTTACATGCATGGTATTAGATGTATGATTAGAGTACAACAGAGATATCATGGGAATTATGTCTTAATAATTTGTTTCACATTCCCATTAAAGTCATCCAATAAGTACATGTTTGAAACAATCACAAGATTGTTCACTTGAAATACATTTCTTGTTAAAAACGTATATTTTTCCCTCAATTATCCCACAATTTAGTATAATAGATTGTTGAATGCAAAATACTAACAATAAACTTTAAGCAATCATTACTTTTTCAATTTATATTTTTGGTATAGAATTATCTCTTGATTCACAATGATGGAACCTGTGATGTTGCATAGTGAATGATGAAGCTGGGAGCAAGAGCAGGTGATTGCTCATATCTTCCCTTCAGAGGTAAGGATTTCAAGATAACTTTACAAACAAAATTAAAAGAAAACAATCTGATTTACTACTAAGTTTGCTACACAAATATTTTAGCGCAAAAAGAAAAATATTTAAGGATATAACTTTTCAACAGTTAAATGAGTACTTCTAAATGAATTTTCTTTAAACAAGAATTATATGTATTCTTTTTCCTTTACATGTATGTTTTATGCAGGTGAAAGCTGTTAACAATTTGATAAGTAAGTAGTATGCCAAGACAGGGCACAAAATTAACACTGAACTGGTGTCAAATGTTCTTAAAAATTATGTCAGGCACATTCTAAAATGACTGAACTTCAGTTAGAACATACAGTATTAGATCTCTGTTGAATAACTGGTGCCAAATACTTGTTCATAAATGAGTGTTGTTTGTCAACAAATAAGAAGAAAAACTTGGATAAATGATAATAAAGAATTAATTGACATGTCTAAATGAAAGCATTTGTTGGTTTATTTTGTACAACATTTCGTTCTTTGTCAGGTAGTATAGGCCAAGTAACATGGTCTTGACTGCCTTGCAAAAGGCTTCTTTTGAAACATCGCAACAAAATACAATAGGAAAACTTTTCATTTCACTGTCATGTTTGTTAATCTTTACATGTAGGTTGCTTTACAAACTTAGTGTAAGTCAAAGTAAAATAAACAGCACCATCCATCACCATGCTGTTAAACTAATAAAATCATTCAAATATGCAAAAAAGTTAAAACCCCGATTGAAATAAGAAATTAAATGAGGGTAAAACAATATTATAAAAAGCTATTATTTATAGTAGGTAAAACATCACCATTATCATCTTAAAAGAATACATTGCAAGCACTAAATGTAAATACATTCACCAAACATAATATATTGAACATTCACAAACAGTCAAGTGACAACTTCTATTGCAGCCATAGCTGATCATATCACACAAAGCTTTATTATTTGTTATTCTTAATGTAAGGTATATTCCCTACCCTGCATGAACAGGTGCCCTCGATATGTCAATGTTATCTGTAGTGTAGTTACCCACAAATGTTTTCTCAACATTGTGGCTGACATGAATAGGTGAAAGGTTATCTTCCTCCACTGTTAATGGGGCTAAAATATCAAAATATATTGGAATCACACATACATTTATGTTGCCTGTCAATATTTCATTCAGAACACACAATATCACACTACTGGAAATATTTTATATACTTAATTTGATTTTTCTTTAAATTAAGAGATATAATCTTTTCTTACATCATTTACTGAAATATTACAAAACCTTTCTTTGCCACATGTTTCAAAAGATTTACTGATCCAACAGTTTGGCAAGATATTCAGCTCAGTCTATTAAATGTCTACAGTATAAATATTAAAAACTTGTTCATATCACAAACACAGTGACCATTACATATAGAAAAGGTAGATATTTTCTGCACATATACATACATACATACACATTTTATTTTAGAACTAGTGATTTTTTATGAGATATTTCTACAGGGTATCAGACTAGTTTACTGTGATGGCAAGCCAATACCAGACTGATTATTAAAGCAAACAAGGTAATTGTTAGCCTAATTAGTTTATCAATGGCCTACATCCAGCTGAGGTAGATCTACAGTACAAATCTCTCTCTGTACTCATACATTTAAATACATATAGATATACAATATACATATTTCAACTTTATATAAAGTTAGGTTGTTATATAAACCCAAAATTTAGAACTGAGGAAAAATCTAGCACAATAAACTGTACTTTAAAGATCATAATTCCAGTTTAAGTATACTAATTAATACCTCAAGTGTTGTGATATTATTTTAAATTGTTAAACATTGAAATATCAAAATGAAGTACTATTTTATATATTTTGTCCACTCAAGATCATTTAGATTGTCAAAGACGACGGACATAAAACATTTTTCTTCAATGTAACTGGTTATTCAATTATAATTTTTCATGAAACACAACCTTCTACATTATTTAACCTGTATTTAATGCAGCAGTTTTAGTACAGTATCTATAAACAAAAAAATTTGAAAGGGTACAAGTTATTCTAGAACATTTTTACTATAAGGGTATGATAACATTCAAAATACAGCTCTAACAGTTTAGTACTTTTTTATAAATTGTTTTGTGTTCATATGAAAATTATTTGAGTTTATGAAAAAATTGATATGCTATAGTCTATGCTTCTTTATACAAAGAAATATATTAAACTTACTCCTGCACTTTTCTTGCTGATTCCATACATGTACAAACAAACACAAAATTTACACCAAAATACCATTATATGTTTTTTTGTTTTGATTTTTTTTACAGTTTAGGATGAGAAATCATCTTAATGTCAAAGTATTCTAATTTCCCTACTCATGCTTAAATGTTGAAAAGTATTGTTTAATATATAGCTGTAATTTCTATTGAACAAAACATAAAGTTTTATTCTACAATTCTATGAAAAGATGGTTTATAATGTGACAATGGAGAGGACAATTTAAAGTTAATTCCAGTAAAGGAAGTCAGAATGTTTAGTTTAAAATACTAAAGAACGATGAATATAGAAAACATCACATTTTTCTGAATACAGGCAAGCATTTCATATACCTACCTACATAATCAACACTCATTAACATTGAATCAGTGGCCCTCTCATCCCTGGTAACATCCATAGGCAGTGAGTCATCTCCAAGTGACTTCATTTCATCTACTGTCAGGTAACGCATTGACTGGTCTCCCAAAATTGTATCTTCCCCTGTTACATTATATGAAAACATAAACATGTCATAAATAATTAAAATAAGTGATTAAATAAAAATTATCTGTGAATGCATTAAACTATTCCATAAAGAGCCAGCTGACAATACAACAAATAATTACAAAAGTTTTTACAAATCGAGTATTTTAGGTTTAGTATGTTTTTGTGATTTTATTTGTTTTTAAGTAAAAAGCTATACAACTGGCTATTTTTGCTATGCCAATTTAATGCTGAATTTTAGCATTATAAGCCCTCAAGTTTATTGCTCACCATCAAGGGGCTTTTTTGGTGAACATAAAAATAAACCACATGCCTAAAGAATACAGTTTGATGGAAAACAGACTTCTATTCATGGATAATAGAATAGAAATAAACAATTTAAATATTTATTTAAAAAGGATTGAAATAAATCAATTTATGTCTTTGAAAACCCGAAAAGAAAGTTCTAATATATACACAGGAGAAAAAAAAAACTTTCATCCTGTAAACACTATGATACATAGTAAAAAAAATCATAACTGTTACAATTTCTACCCTTTTTACTCTTAATAGTGAGTCTGCCATGGTACAATTGGTTCAGAATTAAGGTTTTTGTGCACTTAAATTCTTCATTGAGTCCTTGTAAATGAGCAGAAATATCACTCCTAAACCAGTTCTACCAAAACAAACTCTTCTATTATAATGAGACAGTAAACCAACTGCTACCAAACCAACTGTTACATAATTTTTTACAAAGAAAGCAATTCAAGGAAACAAATAATAAAATAATTCTGAGTAATGAAATATATTTTTTACATTACTTCAGAAAGAATTGTTTGTTTGTAATTAAGCACAAAGCTACACAATTGGCTATCTGTGCTCTGACCACCACAGGTATCGAAACCCGGATTCTAGCGTTGTAAATCCGCAGACATACCTCTGTGCCACTGGGGGGCTTCAGCAAGAATAATTGTTTTACTGAGTTATAGTAGCTGTACTCATGTAAATGTGTTTACACTGAACTTAGTAGAAAAAAGTGACAACGAAAAAAAAAATATGGTATAAAAGTCAAACAAAATGTACTAACCAACTGTTAACATTAATGGATTGTCAGAAGGAAGCAGTATACTTTATACATGAAAAAAAATTTCTTTCACTCTGAAACTGGATAAAAATCATACAGTATTTGCTACAATATATAGTTGATTGAATTGGTCAAAATTTATTACCTTTGTTTATTACTGAAATATATATATACTGCAATTAGTATTTTGATGATACAATCATTCTTACAAGTATTTCAATTTAAACACAGTTTAATGATCCTTAAAAAGAATGTACTGTAAACAAATTTAAATGAAATTTATGAAATGTTAAAACAAGACCATTACACCTTCTAATAGACAAAAATACAAAACCTTATAACCTAGGTGGTTTTGAAAGGTGGAACTTTTGAAAGTGTTATAGGGATTTATATTTTATGTCTTAAACTGATTTTTTTTAACCTACACGTTTTTCTAGCATCCTTAAACTTTCTAATAAGATGAACAAAAATATTATTGTTAAAGCAAAATTGTACCATTGAATATAAACAAATGGGATTGAAAATAAACATTCTTCCATGTAAAAATTAAAGAAAAAATTCAGAGTTGAATTTTATTCAATAAAAAATTTTTGTTTTGAGTTTATTACAGAATATCTGAACGAAATCATTAAGTGTTTGTGTTTCCTGAATTTTTTCCAAGCAAAATGCAGCACTTGTAGCCCCTAGAGGAGGAAAATGAAAGTCATAATAATTTTGAACAAAATGGCACTAAGATGACCTAGTAACTTCAATACATGTTAATTTAAAGATTTTTAGCCAATCACTATTTCTCAACCTCTGTTGTCATGGTACATTTTAACTGTCTGTATCTCAGCTTCAAGAAGTTATAGGTTAGTGATCCAAACATCTAAACGTTTTTTCCATTCTTTTCAACTGTGCAAGCCAAAATGCCTTTAAGTTTAGTGGAGATTCATGCAGAGATTAAAACAAAATGATAAAAGCTGGCTTAGTGATATTTTGCTTGAAAATATGATATTTGTGAACAATATCTACTATAATTATATTCCTCGATTTTTTTAAACTTGATTTATCATTTTATACTTTGTGTGAATTATAATGTTGCAGTATGATAGAAAAATAAACATTTTTTGTGGAATAAGGTGAATTAGGCTTAGTTAAATCATTTTGCACTCAATCATATCAAATGTTTCATTTTGATGATAAGACCATTTTATGTTACGCTTCATTTACATTACATTAATAAGGCCTAGGTAACTGCTTGAATGGGCAAAGAAAATCACCAAAAATAATTGTAAAATAAATATATAAGTGAGTATAAAATTGGTTTAAAACTTAAAACATATATTAAGTGAAACCTTCTGATTAGCAATAATAAAAAGAGTTGGCTTGATTATAATTTTGGTATTGTAAAATTGTTATTTTTGTTTTATGCAAGTGATTGTAAACATAGTGGAACTGCATACAATGTTTTCCAAATCAAAACAAGGAAAAAATGTCCAGTTTTATTAAAAAACACAAAACTCAGTAATTAAAATCTATAAAAAAGTAAGCATTTTAAAATGTTTTTTTTAAGAAAAACATATCACAATGAAATCTTTTCGAAATTTCAAAGCTGCAAATTCATAAATATATCATCTATAAAAATAAGATATTATATTTGCATAATCTGTAGAAAAGTCTTTAGAGGTTTTAAATTATTTCACCTAACAGAATATTTTTTGCTATAAAATAAAACAAACAATACAAAGGTGTGTGAAGCTGAAGCATCTGGGTCTGATAGTTAAAATACAATTCTGTTGAATTAACATATAGTTATTTTATCAAGTTTTGTGATACTTTAAAAATTCTATTGTAAACACATTTAAATACAACTTACAAAAACACTACGGCATGGCCATTAACCTTTCTAAACAGATGGACAAATAGGAAGTGAAGATGGATAAACTTAACAAGTTAATTACAACAACACAATTTAATGCTAACAATTACTGCATGATTGCACAAGCAAAACTACTGCTACCCAAAACTTCCTTACGTGTCTACTTATAAAGCCAGACACAACAAAAAGATGTCACATGACTATTAACTGGCTTTACATATCTATTCCTTCATGTTACAATAATGTGGTATCTTTTTTTATCATAATAAAGAAACTGTCATTTAAAAGACCAGTTAACTACATCCTGCAACAAGTCTACACTGATCAACTTCATTAAATTTACATATATCAATTCAAGATCAGGTACTACCCTGAAACCAAATGTAATACACTATGTATAAAAATGATTAACAACCATGTTTGGAAGTACAGTATGTGACAGACATGAAATTGAATGTTACAACATTCTAAGTAGGTACATTAGTATCCAAAGATATTATAAAATAACCATAGCATTATTTGCTAGACTAAATATTAAAATAATTTGAATTTAAGGCAAAGTGAAACCACTTAGAATTAAGCATGTATAAAAATTAGAACAGTTATAAAAGCAATAGTAAGAGAAAGGAAAATCATAAGTAGGCAAAGTATGGATTTTCATTAAATATCATTAACAGGCAATAAAAAAGAAGACTGTGAGGTTCACCTGAACAATGAAAAAAACAGAAACTAAGCCTAAACACAGAGTCCACTGAGTGTACACCGAGTCAACCTGACGAACAGAAAATAAAAAATCTGAACAGAGAAGAAATTATTCCTTTCAAACATATTCTCCACAACAATTGTAGATCTATTCCAATTGTTACTAAGGAAACATATAAGTTACAAGTAAGTATACAAATTAAACTTTATGTGTTAGAATCTTAAAACTGTGTAACATGATTATTTTGCTGGCTTAAGTTTTAAAATTAATGACCAAAAAAAAAAAAAAAAAAAAAAAAAAAAAAAAA